TTTCCCTTCCCACCCCCACAACAGACATCCCATGAGGTAGTTGGGGCTGAGAGAGCTCTTTTGAGAATAGCTCGAAGACCACTGTGACTGACCCAAGCAGCTGCATGTGGCGAAGTGGGGAATCAAACCTGGTTCTCCCAGTTTAGAGTCTGCTTTCCTCCTAACCACTGACTACACCAAGCTGGCTCTCAGAGAAACTGTGGAGAAAATGGCAACCAAAACGTCATGCTAAAACTGTCTTTTGCATGTTGTTAAAGATAACATTCTGCATTAGGCTGTTCTCTGACTGAACTGCTTTCTTTTAGCATAATTGGTTCCTAAATCTGCACTGCTTTGGTTATTGTCTTGTAAAAACCGTTCACAGTCCTCAGTTGCCTACTTCCCCACCCCCACCCCGTCTCATAATGTATCCTCATTTTCTGCCTTTGACTTCTCCCCCTGCACCTCTGATCTTTATTTTGCATTCTATTCGCCATTAAGTCATTTGTTACCTTTGTTGCTCTCAGTCTGAAATACTAATCAGAACAAATGAGCTATATTGGAACGTTTTACACTTAATGTCTTCATTGAGCGATGTTTGCTGTGTAAGTAGAAGTGGTCATCATCTTCAGAATATTTACACTGCAACGAAGTAAGGTTTATTCAGTGAAAAGCTGAGAACAGGAAAGCAAAGTGAAAATCACCCAGCTGTTAAATTGTATGTATATGCAATTCATAATGTCTCCAGTTTTACATTAATGCTGATGTGATATTAGGACTGCTGTGGTGGAATTGCTTTGTAGCATCAACCACTGTGCCCTGATGTATGGTTTTGTATTTTAGGACAGATGTTGTTGATTTATTTGCAGAGTCCTATCTGCCTCTACTGCCTCCAGAGCAAAAAGCAGCAGAACATATTTAGAGTGGAACAGATGTGTTGTACTTTAATACGTGTTTGTTTTCATTATGTGGAAAATGTAATATTCAGTATATCTAATAGTCACCATGGCCCCATCTGCAGATACTTAAATCTGTGGATTGAGTGTGTGTACAGAGAAGATTTTTCAACCAACTTGGCGGACCCTCCAGGTTTGCAGAAACATCAGGAAAGTTTTACAAAAAAGTGGGGGGTTACAACACCCCCTAACAGAGGAACACATTTTCGGGGCAAGCTGCAGGGAGGTGAGGATGAACCAGATGACCTTGGCCCACTCTAATGCACACCTGCCTCATCTCTTCCCTGGAGGTCATCCTGAGGTGAGGAGGGGAAGCCACCCCCACTGACAGTGGCAACACTGTGAGTGGGTGGAGAGGAGCAAGAGCCACTGCTGCCACTGCCCCCATGCCAATTGGTAAGGAAAGATACAGATGGGCAGGTGGATGGATGAGTGCATAGGTGGCCTTGCTGGGTGACTGCTGGTAGTCAGGTAAGGAGGGCGGGGGAACCTCCACTAACCCCCCCCCCCAAAAAAAGACGGCAGTCCCTTCTGGCCAAAATCAGCACTGAGGGGCAGCGCTGGAGGTGGGCAGCGGGGCAGGTAGAGCCTTCATCCTCCTCCTTTGCCACTGGACTCCTCCTTTGCTACTTAGTGCACATTCTTTTGACACTAGGTGCTTCTACTCATAAAAAGCTTAGAGTGAGAAGAACATGCATTGGAGGACTACCACCATAACAGGCAAAGAGGAGTGCAAATGGAAAGAAGATATAGCATCCAAGACCAAACCTATATGTTACCAAGCCATGGATGATGGTAACAAAGTGAAATTGCTTCTTCAATTTCACATGGTCATTTAGATGTATTGCTGCCAAAATAGTTTCCTGATGTCTGTGGGAAGTATATTACATCAAGGACAGGACAAACTTCATAGTTAACCCATGGGTTGAACTGTATTTTTAGCCTTTTTCTGGTCATCTATTCTTAACTTGTCTGAGATTCAGTCTGATTTTTTAAAAAGATGAAATAGGCTTGGGTCACTAGGTAGTGTTATTATATTGATGGTATTTCACTCAAAAGTTCTGCAAGGGTTTCATGGAGGATGGGATAGAATCCTGAGAATCTTGTGGCAGCTTAAAGCAGAAATTTTGGATCATTGGGATGAAGTTAGTTCTTTTCAGCACATTAGTACAAATTGTGCTTTTTCCTGTAACATAAATAGGTTATTACAAAAATGCTGAGTAATTAATGCAGAAAGGTAGGTGACAGAGCATTCTGAGTTTGATTCATAATGAACACCCTTGCATTTCTGAATTCCCGTTCATTAGCACATATTAAACTTGATATTCAATATATAAACTGGCGTGGAGAAAAAGATCATGCTTTTAACTCATTATTTATGTGCACAAAAGATTATTTAAGGGGTATCTAATTGGCATAAAATGATCTTGAGTATTCACCATAAGTAGCAGTTATGGCATGGGAAGATACACGACATTAATAGCAGAACTCCTTTGCCTATTATTTCTCTGAGGTTTAGCATTAGGTTTGTGATAGGCTTGGCAGTTAGGTGATGTACCTTGACTTCTTACAACTACCTCATGGCTGTCTTGTACTTTAAAGAACTGAGTTGTATCAGCAGGGTGTCTTCTCTTTTTTCAACCTTTTTATCTGTCAGAAGCAGCAAGAGCTGAAAGGTACTTCATGGGGTTGGCATGAAGTTACCCCTTTAGGTCTTCAGGCCAAAACTGAGAAAAGTATAATTATGCAAGTATAGTCTGTTCACCTGGCTACCTTTTTCCATTGCCTTCTGACCATGTCCCATCTAGCTCATAAGATTAAAAGTTCTGATGATCATCGGTACAAGCGCCGCTGTCTTTCTGAAGAGAGAATGTGTGGCTTCCTGTAGTGTAACCATGGAAACAGACAAGGAATCCTTAAACAAAGTGATCGCACATGCTGTGCTAATTAATCCTGTCCTACAGTTTTCCCTCAGCTGGAGGAAACAGTTAGATAAATTTTGCATGAGTAAGCATGTTTGGATGCACAAGCAGTATAAAGTATTTCACATGTTTAAATTGTCACTCAGAAGATAGGAAAAAACCAAGAGTCCTGTAGCTGTCATTCATTTGTGTTTTGTGAATCACAACAAAGGAAGAATTCTTAGATTTTTGACAATGAATGCACTATAAGCAGTTCTATAGATCTGAACTGTTTTGGTGTTTTGCAAACCTGGTATGGGGCATATAGTAAACACAAGAGGGGGACCCGCGATACTCGCGGGGGGGAAGAAGAGCTCCGTCTCCTCTCCCCCCTGCTCGTTCTCCCCCAGGCGGCGGCGGCGGCGGCGAGGCCGGTCCCCCCCGGCTCTGAGGCGGAGAGGCCTGTCCTCCCCCCTTTGCCGAGCTCGGCGGCGGTGGCAGCGGCCGGCGAGGCCTGTCCTCCCCCCCGCCTGCCTGCCGGATCCGAAGAGGCGGCGGCGGCAACGAAGCTGTTGCTTGGCAACCAAGCTTGGTTTTGTGAGTAAAAAGGCAAAGGAAGGAATCTCTTTCCAGGCCTTTTGGGGAACTCATTGGGGCCAGTCCTGACTAGGGTTGCCAGCTCCAGGTTGGGAAATTCCTGGATATTCGGTGGTGAAGTCTAAGGAAGCCAGAGTCTGGGGAGGGGAGAGACCTCAGCTGAATAGAATGCCATAGAGCCAATCCTCTAAAGCAGTTATTTTCTCCAGGGCCCGCCAGCCAGCCAGCCGGCCAGCCGGCTCCCAGAAGGCGGCGGCGGTGAGGCCGGTCCTTCCCCTCCCGCCCTGCCTGCCTGCCTGCCTGTCTCCCTTCCCCCGCACGCAAGCCCGGTAGGTCGCAGAGCGTCTCCTGCGCATGTGCAGGAGACGCTCTTGCACTTTCGGGGAGATTTAAACATCCCCCCGAAATGTTTTTCAACTTTTTAAATTTTTGTGCACATGTGGGGACTGGCCCACGTGTGCACAAACCTCCCCCGCCCCCCCCAGCTGCCCCCGGAGCACTAATTTAGCGATCCGCACTCCGGGGGCAAGTTGGGAATTAGATATATAGATGTAGACCCTGCACAGCAATTCCCTCTTTCTGAAACACTTCACACTCTGTTCCCCTTAGTTGGTCCTTTACACGGTCCAGTATTTTAATTTTTTTTTAGTTTTTTTAATATTTTGTAGAATGTGACAACAAACAGGAAGAAAAGCAGGAAATAATTATAATCCAAAGAACTGTTTTCAAATTCACATTGGAAAATAGGTGCATAAATTTAACTGTGGGAGATACTTTGCTTAACCATGTCTTAACTGATGGTACTTTGCTTTGTTTCTAATTTATGGTTAGCCTACTTTCCTGTAATACAAGATGGTGATTTCATGAAAACCTTTCTTTTGAACAAGAATTTGAACCTTGGTAGCCCACATCAAGCACATAAGCCTGGCTACTGCACTACAGTGGCTCTCTTTGCTTTTTAAAAATGTGGTTTCCAGCCCAGATTATAGTATATTTTTGCCTTGTATTCATATCACAGATAAATTCATTAAAAACTGAAAGGCTAAGGGAAAATGGCATTTTATGGTTCTGTGAAACAGTATGTGCCTGAAACTTCTGATTCTTCAGTGTGTTTCTTCTAATGTGGATAATGACTGAACATTTCCCAGCAGCCATTTGGTTCTCTTTTCTAACCACCTATTAAGTTATACAGATTATGTTCCTTGTTCTGTAGCACTAAGGACTGACACCTGTAGATTTATCTGTTCTTACTTTTATGGGCAGTGGTTTTTAAGTAGTAACCCCAAACATTTTTCAACATGAAGCATAAGTTTCCTGAAAGTATACGTGACTACCCTATAACGGCAACAATTATTGTAATTCCTTGATATTTGATGACCATTCAGGGCTTCATTTTGTGAATGTGTTGAGTGATAGAAATGGATATGTTCTCTAATTAACATGCTGCCAGAAGAAACAAAATCCAGTCTTTCAAATAGTATTATATGACACATGCTTATTGAAGAGCTAAAGTAGTCTTTATTTTTGTATGCCTATATCATTTTTTCCTTTCCTGTCTGCTTTATAGGACTTGCACGAGCCAAATCTGTTCCAAGTCACACATATTCTAATGAAGTGGTAACCCTGTGGTACAGACCTCCAGATGTCCTCTTGGGCTCAACAGAGTATTCTACTTGCCTTGACATGTGGTAAGGAGAGCCTTTACAAAAAAGTTCTACAGGATCCATGTACCTTCTAGTTTTGAATTTAAAGAAATGGCTTGACAAACACTCTAGGATAAATACTACAGGGTTTCCAGATATTATTTCATTCAAAAATCTCCATGCCTCCCCCCAGCAGTTCATTGTTAAAGTCTGCGTGCACATGAATAGTAATACTTTTAAAGAAGAAATGTGATCACTTTGCCTTTCTTTTGTTCTCTTAATCCAATTTTCTGGTGAACTTTGTATCCCAGCAAACACTTAGATGAAAGTAGATGAAAGCCATGTAATTTGAGAAGGAATAACACTGGAACATAATTGTGGGGAAACAATAAATTTTATTATGAAAGCATTTTGTTTTTACATGACATGCAATGCCATTTTTAACACTGCAGGAACATCTGTAGGACCTGTTCATCCAGAACATTTTCTTATTTCTGTTAACATAAGGAAAACCAGGGCAGAGTTAACTGAACATTACTGGCGTTTGCTTGGCTTTGGGTTTCTTCCTGTCATCTATTAGAAATCTTGTCTGCTTCCAACCCCTTCAGTTGTGTGGTCAACAGTCATCTAGTGTAGTCCTCCTAAGGCCTTGGCCTGTACAACATGCATCTCTCAGTGCTTAAGATATATATTTCCTACTACATCAATGGTAGCTGCACAAAAATATAGATAGATTTCTATTGCTTCCATATCTGTCTTTCATTTGCAAGGCTTGAAGAGTTAAGGGTCTTTCTGTCAACAATTTGCCCTGCCTCCATTCATAATCTTCTGCATTGCTAAATTATGACTCTTTAAATAATGGAAATCTAGATCCTCCCCTGACCTTAAAATCATTCTACCACTGTTTCATGTTTCCTGTTGAAAGCAATATTGAGAAAATATGGGTAGAAAGACTATTGTTTACATTCATATTCTTACATGTATTATAAAGCATTTTAAAAATAATTTTGTCCATGTAAGGCAGGACTATATTTACTATGCCAGTATATTATGAGACCCAGCTACCCAATTTGGCTTTCCTTTCCCCCTTTTTTATATTTGTAACATCCAGCCTAAAAAAGGGTTCCAGGTATCTCGAAAAACTGCATGCTGTTTTGTGTCATTTTGATTTCAGTCCCCTCCCAGCCACCAGCAGAGGATGAGAGAGTATGTATGCCAGCTCCAGGTTGGTAAACTTCTGGAGATTTGTGGGTGGAGCCTGGAGAAGACAGGGGCCTCAGAGGGGTACAATGGCATAGAGTCCACGCTCCAAAGCAGCCATTTTTCTCCAGAGAAACTGATCTCTGTAGTCTGGAGATGAACTGTAATTCCAGGGGATCCCCAGGTCCTACCTGGAAGCTGGCATCCCTATTGGTCCTAATAAAAACTATTTTTTAAATTACGCTCATGTTTTTGGAATTCAGTTGCAAGGAAAAGCAGTAACATAAGTGTTAAACTTGACATGATTACAGCTATTTAATTCATTCATTCATTCAATTTGTATCCCGCCTTCCCTGCCGAGGCAGGCTCAGAGCGGCTTACATTAAAAGTTAAAATATTAAAACACCGATGCATTGACACAATGCAACATCATAAAAACTCATAAACATAACAAATCAGAAATACAGGGAAAGTGCTGATGGCGGTAACATCCCAATAGGCCATGTTCAGATGGTAACAAAAGTATGGCCAAAATCGGTGTCCAGAATATCCCTAGCTGTTGATGTTGTTGTTGAAATAGAGGGCCTTAACAATTCAGTTGTTATTAGTAGCGGCTCCTAATTGAAGGCATGGTGGAAGAGCTCCATTTTACAGGCCCTGCAGAACTGTAAAAGGTCCTGCCGGGCCCTGATGTCTTCCGGGAGCTCATTCCATCAGTGTGGAGCTGCTACTGAGAAGGCCCTGGCCCTGGTAGAGGCCAGTCTGGTGCCTTTTGGTCCATGGAGAGTCAAGTTCCTCTCTTGAGGAACATGTGGGAAAAGACGGTCCCTCAGGTAGGCAAGCCCCAGACCATATAGGGCTTTAAAGGTCAAAAATAGCACCTTGAAGTGAATCCGGTATGCTATTGGCAGCCAGTGCAATGCCTTCAGCACAGACTGGATGCACTCTCGCATAGGAAGACCCAGCAGCAGCCTGGCTGCTGCATTTTGCACCAGCTGCAGCTTCCGGAGTTGTGCCAAGGCCATCCCCATGTAGTCCATGCAGTAGTCCAGCCTCGAGGTGACCATTGTGTGGATCACTGTTGCCAGATCATAGTGTTCGAGGAAGGGAACCAACTGCCTAATTAGCCGAAGAAGGTAAAAGGCTGCCTTGGCAGTGACTGTTATCTGGGCCTCCAGGAGCACTCCCAAACTCCTGACCCTCGGCGCTGGCACCAACAGCATCCCATTGAAGGCCGGTAGTGGGATCCCTACCCCTGGTCCACTCTGACTCAGGCACAGGACCTCCATCTTCGTCAGATTCAATTTCAATTGGCTCAGTCTAAGCCATCCAGCCACATCCTGTAGCGCCTGGTCCAGGTCTTCCAGGGTAGAGTCAGACTGACTGTCCAACAACAGATATAGCTGGGTGTTGTCTGCATATTGGTGACACCCTAGTCCATGCCTCTGGGCAAGGGGGCGCATATAAATATTAAATAGCATCAGGGAAAGGACTGCCCCTTGGAGCACTCCGCAGATCAGCGGGTGCCTTTGGGACAGTTGATCCCGAGAGCCACCCTTTGTCCCTGACCTTGGAGAAAGGAGGTGAGCCATTGCAAGGCAAGCCCCTGAATCCCAGTCTTGGTGAAGTGGTGGATCAGTAGCTGATGGTTGACCATGTTGAGCCAACAGGTCCAACAACAACAGCACTGCTGCCCCTCCCCAATCCAGATGCCTCCGGAGGTCATCTGTGAGGGCGACCAGTGCCGTCTCCATCCCATGGCCTGGGCGGAAGCCGGTCTGGAAGGGATCTAGCATGGAAGTGTCATCCATAAAGCTCTACAACTGTATCGCTACTGCCCTCTCAATTAATTTGCCCAGATAGGGCAAATTGGAAAACAGCTGATAGTTTGCCAATTCGGCTGGATCCAGGGATGGGTTTTTTAGGAGAGGGCAGACCATTGCTTGCTTGAGTGCCCCTGGGAACAGCCCCTCTGAGAGGGACTTGTTAATAATATCCCTGAGAGTACCTCGAAACCCCTCACAACCAGCTTTAATTAGCCATGAAGGGCACGGGTCTAGGCTGCACGTAGTTGGGCATACTGTCAAAAGCAATCTGTTGAATTCCTGTAGACTGTATTTAAACAGATCTAGCCCACTCAGTAGAAAGCATGGGATGGGAATACAAATTGAACAACACAAGAGGCACATGGGTGAGGAGTCCA